CTCTCCTGTCACACAGGTGACAGCCTCTCCCGCTCAGCTCTCTCTGGGCCAGTAGCAGACCCGGGAGGGTGGGGGGGTGTAGACAAATGTGTTCAAGAGCTGCGTGGGCAGCGCACCAGTGTCAAGTCAACAGCCAAAGCAGCCTGACTCCTGGGGATCCCGGGCTGAGGCGAAAGGGAGGATTTGGCTTTCTATCTTTAATAAATGACATCCGGTTGCTTTTTTATTTTTTTTCCGGTTGCAGAAGTAACACGTATTCAGTACAGGAAAACTGGAGAAAATGGAGACTCACCCAAAAGCATAAAAAAAAAAACAATCACCTATAATCCTATATTTTAGTATCAAGAACAATTTGTTCACCCAATTTCTTAACTGTGAACATACTTTTCAAAAATAAAAATAAATACTGCTTTGTCACCTGTTGCTTCCCTTAACAACAGTCAAGAAGTGCTTGCCCAGCAGCAGTCAGTCTTCACTCCCCCTCCATGTGGCGGTAGGACTGGCAACGGTTCCATAATTTACTCAAACTTCTAAGACCTGGTTTTAGTTCCATGTTTTTTGATATTTTAAATTACACTGACGTAAACATCTCGCACATCTGATTTTGTGTATATCTCAGATTCTATCCCCAGCATAAATCTTTTTTTTTTAAATTTTATTGTTATATTCCCCATACAATTGCAGCCCCCCCCATTCTAACCCCAATCCCTCCCCTCCCGCCCCCGCCCCCTAAAAGTGTCTCTGGTTCATAGTTTTTTGTTGATTTTGATTTTCACTTTCTTATAATAGTTATTCATTTTCCTGGTCCCTTATTTAAGTTTTCTAGATTCCTGCTATGAGTGAGACCATCCGTTATTTTTCTTTTTCTTTCTGGCTTATTTTGCTGAGCATGATCCCTTCCAGTGCCATCCATGTTGCTGCAAATTGCATGTGTTTATCTTTTTTGAATGCTGAGTAATATTCCATGGTGTATATGGACCACATCTTCTTGATCCAGTCATCTATTTTTGGGCATTTGGGTTGTTTCCAAAGCTTAGCTATTGTAAACAGTGCTGCTATAAACATAGGGGTGCAGGTGCTCTTTGGAATGGATGTTTCTGTGTCTTTTGGGTAAATACCTAGGAGTGGAATTGCTGGATCATATGGAAGCTCTATGTTTAGTAGGTCCAGAAATCTCCACACAGCTCTCCATAGTGGTTGGACCAGTTTGCACTCCCACCAACAGTGCAGAAGAGTTCCTTTTTCTCCACACCCTCGCCAACATTTGTTGTTGCTAGTTTTTTTAATATCTTTAATAAATTTTTTAAAATATGACCGTGAGAACAAAGTGTTTACATTTTTTATTTTCAAGATTTGTGTTACAATTCTAAGCCTGCGTGGCTGTTTCACCAGCCTCACCCATTCCTTCCCATGAAAACCAAAATAAAGGCTGTGGCCACGTTTTCCTTTCCTTCGGCTTCCTGGTCAGCGCGGTGCCCTCCACGTGGCCCTGTGTGGCTGTAATGTCTCATCTTCTGGGAAACGAAGCAATCAATCCTTATTTTAAAAAAAAATTGGTACCTATTCTTATTTTGAAATGGCTGCAAAATCCATTTAGGATGACTCAGTTGATGGCCTTGGCTTCATGGAGGCAGGAGCGTCAGAGCCTGAATTTGGGAGTCAGCTAGTCTAGGTCTGGATCTCTGCTTCTCTTCTTGCTGTTTCATGACCTTGAACAAATCTCTTACCTCTTTCAGTTTCCTCTTACACATATTGCTGTTGCTCTGACGGCCTGCTCACCACAACCATCCCCAGCTCCACCCTGAATTTATAGCTTATTGATGATTATCTTATTTTATGATTGAGCTAAAAGTTTTGATGGCTTACTGTATCAGAGCTTGCTGGGTGTCGATGAGCAAGATGGCAATTAAAAGTCAAGGGGAGGGGCCTCCCCGGTGGCGCAGCGGTTGAGCGCTGGGTTGCGAAGGTGCCCGCAGCCTCTGTGGTGCCTGTTCGATCCCCTGCCGCCGGGAGAGGGTCCCACATGGTGCGCAGACCTCTCCTGCCACCCACTGCTCCCCTCAGCAGTATTTCATCAGTCTGCCTGCTCTGGTCCATGCTCTGGCGAATTCTCTCACCCTCCTGCGCTTCCCACTGTACCCAGTGCTTGTAAAAATAAATAAATAAATCTTTAAAAAAAAAAAAGTCAAGGGGAGTCATAGAAAGCACCTCAGGAATCTCTGAACCCCACTCTTTCCTGTGGTTTTGCAATTAGCAAAGGCAAGGAAGGAAAGATGAAAATCAGCCTAGTTTGTTTCACAAGTCCTTGCACTCCCGCTATTTTCAAACTGCCTCCCTCACCAGTAGTAGGTGCCCCTCTAAAGCCACAGAGGAAATGCAAATTGTATTTCTCACATGATTTCAACATGGAAGGATTCGAGGTGTTTGACATGTTCTGATGGGAAATAGTGGGAGAGTGTGAGCTCTCCCCAGGACAAAAGAGGTGCCATCTGAGTCCTATCATTGGCTAGAACTGGCATTTTCTACAAATGAACTGAGCCGAGACAAGGATGGGGAGGGGGGCGGGGCTCAGTAACAAATGACAGGCATGAGCACGCATTACCCTTGGGCATGACTTCAGCTTTTTTTTAAAGATTTATTTATACATAGAAGTACTGGGTTATAGGTCAGAGGTGGGGGGGGGTGGTGAGAGGATTCACCAGAGACAGAGCGGGGGGCAGAACAGGCAGACTGACTGAAATACACTGCTGAGGGGAGCAGCGGGAGAGACAGGAGAGGTCTGCTGCGCCGCCTTGTGGGTTAGCTCCCTGGCAGGGTTTGAACACAGGTCACGTTGGTGCTAACACTAAGACTTAATCCCAAGGAAGCCCAGAAACCACCTCACTATAGGCCTATGTGTCCTGGGCATCCCAATTAAAAATGAAAACTAGTTAAACCTGGGTTCTTGTCAACTATCATAAATCCTATGAAGGCTCACTAGGGTTCAACCTTGAATACATCCAACAGGAAGGTCCTGCTAGTGCGTTGTTTGTCAGGACCTGGTCTGAGTAGTGTGCTCAGGGTGGAAGGGGTGCGTGCTTGCGGGCTGTGAGAGGGACAGAATGCACACAGAAAGGTCTCTTGGATGGAATCCAGAGCAGGAGAGTCTCCACTGAGGCTTTGCAATCATCAGTAGCACTGAGACCTTCCCAGCGTGGCACCTTACAGGGCAAACTTTTAAAGATTTATTTTTATTTATTTACGCGTACAAGGGCTGGGATGTAGGTCAGAGGTGCAGGGGGGTGGGGGTGAGAAGATTCATCAGGGACAGAGTGGGGAGCAGAACAGGCAGATCTGCTGAAATATGCTGCAGTGGGCGAGACAGGAGAGGTCTGCTGCGCCATGTGGGTCATCTCCCTGGCCGGGAATCGAACTCATGCCACAGTAGCTGGCGATAGCTTGATAGCACTGAGACTTCAACCCAAGCACCACCAGGGAGGCCCATACAAGCAAACTTTTAAAGGAAGTGAAGAAGTTGGAGTCTGAAGCTGTAAGTCCATCTGTGCCCATCTATCTTACAAACTAGGGGGATTTGGAATATAGACTCCAAATTGCTTTCAGGGCTCGGGGGAAGGTGGTGCTAGAGGAAGATGCTGATGAACAGCAGGGGGCGTCTGCTGAGAATCCTTCCTTCCTAGTGCAGAGGACCTTGCCAGCCATTTGTGGGCACCCTGAGTCCACTTACAAAGCAAGTCTGGCCTCAGAGCTGAAAGGACCCCCCCCCCCAGAGGTTTCCTGGGCAAAAACGATGACAACTGGCTACATGTCCGTCCTCCAAGACCCCTGGTTCACCGCTGAGGGCAAAAGCAAATTAGTGACACCGAGAAGCTGAGAAATCAGGTCTGCCGGCCCTCAGATGAAGGACTTTGTGTAACTCCACTCCGTTTCCATGGCCTGGGCCTCAGTGTTTGTGGAGGAAACATTAGCCCACAGCGTCAAAACCAGTCACGGGTTCTCAAGCATCACAAATAGAAGCTGCACCATGATTTACCAAGCAACTAGCCTGTGAGCGCCTTGTAAACGCCTCTCCTCTCCTCCCAGCACTTACACACACACACACACACACACACACACACACACACACAGAGAGAGATTTGTATTTTCTTGTCCCTCCTCAGTATCTTCCCAACCAAGCCCACCACAATGGCCTCTCCATTGTCTGAAGGAACTCATTATTCTCTCCGCTAGACACTTCTTGTCACTCCCCAAAGAACCAGAAGCTCTTCACAAAACCCTTCCCTGTCTTTCATTATGTTTTGCATTTAGTTGGCAATTACTTTGTCAAGACTTTCTGACTAATTTCAGCATAGCAAATAAGCACATTGAAGTCACCCTCCTCCTCTCTCATTCCGTGTATATCCCTCCCCCTCAGGCCTCCTGGCTAGTGAGATTTCAGGAGACCAGGTGAGCTGTGTGAACAGAGGTTGGTCCCATCCCCTCTCTGTCCCTCCTGTACTAACATGGAGGGACTTCAGTCTGTCAGAGCCTTTTCCAGTTGAGCCCTATGGTTTTATATGACACTAGACTTCTCAGTTGTTCCTCAGGCAGCAATTTCTTCATTTCACTTTCAACTTTTGAACAAAGATTTTAAAATAAGCTTTTTTCATGTAACTGTTCCTTGAGACCCTTTGTTATTATGATGAGTTCCTTTCTGCCCCTGGAAGGATGTAAAATGCTGTCCTCAGATTATCCTCTGACCTACAAAGAACCCGCTCCCTCTCCTCACACCTGCACCCTGACCCTCCCTGTTGGGAGTCATGCAGAACACCCTCCTCCTTTGCCAGGGCAGGACACCATACCCCACCCAGCCCTCTGCACTGGTCTTCTCCCCCCTTCTGTGGGATGACCCCAGGCTCTCATACTGACCTCAGAATGATGCCATCTTGCATTTGAAAGTTTTATTGCTTCTACAGAGTATTTTTGATTGACCATTTAGTTTTTAATTCATGGGCCTCTCTTGCTTCCCTCTCCACACATGGCTTACCCACCCCTTGCTTTCCCCCACATGCCCACAGGTGCCCCACTGGATCTCAGAAGACCCTCACGCCAAGGTGACCACAGCTGTTTGCTAGGTTTCTGCTCTCCAATCCCCTACCACCCAAAGCAATCAAATGTACCCTTATAACTACATCCTTCCTTCCCAGTGTAATTTCTTTCTGACTGGAAGCTGGAAAGTCAACTGGAATGTCTGCTAACAGCTCATCAACCTACTCAGGAAGGCCTGGTATCTTCCAACGAGGAGTCACAACTGCCCAGATTCCCCTGTCCTGGCCCTGCTGCAGGTCCCCAGGTTATCAGAATGTTCCTGTGATTCTCACAGCCATCCCTGTGACCAACCCAGAGAGTCCCATCCCCCCTAGACTACACATCCCAGAAAACCCCAACTACATCAAAGTCACACTTTCTAGACTGGCACATAGTCATGATCAGCAAACCTGGCTGAGTGAATGAATGAGTGAGTAGCCATGTGGGCCACTGCTCCTTCCTCCACAGCAGACTTCTCATTTCCTCTGCCTCCTAAGCCCATCACACGCGGGCTGTGTGGGCAGTTCTGGCCCTGTCCCTCCCCATTCTGTTCTCACTGTCTGCTGTAATAATATTTGTGAACTGCAAGTTACCCTTTCAGGAGTTACACTAAGCAGTACCAACACTTGTGCCTTTCTTCAAGAAACTTGCCTTTATCTTCCTTCCATTTGGATTCCTTCCAAAGGGTCCACCTCCCTTCTGAGCTGTAAAGCTGAGAGAGAAGTTAGGTTTGGGAGGCCAAACCATTAGGTTTTATCTCCTCCGATGGGAGCCGCTGAGAGTTCGGCCTCTTGCTCTCAGAGGGTATCGCACATTTCAATTAGCCGGACTGACAAAATATTCCCCCCAAACAGCCCCTTCTTCTATGTGGTGTCTTCTCTGGGAGGGAACCCCGCCGGCCATTTCAGGGGCTCTGGGACACGGGGCGGCCATGCCTGCAGCCCAGGTGGGAAGGAGTTGGCGAGAGCGGGAGGATCCAGGATGCTGCTGTGGTCTCAGCGCTTCCACAGAGGGGCTTACCCTCCTCTTCTGCTTACCAAGGTGTTTTACAAACTATTATTAATATTAAACACCTAGGATTGTAGGGTTCATGCGCTGCGTGATAGGAAGGCTTAAGCTCAAGTTGTCTGAGTTGCTTTTGGAAGGGGATCAAAACCCAGGCTGGAGCTCCTTCCCGCCTGGCTCCCTGAGCCGTTGTTATTGTGTTTAGCTTGGGATAAACTCTGCGATGGGAGGAGACTGCGCTCAGCAGTGCACGCGCTTAGATCTGGCTTCACGTGTGAGCGCGGCTGTCATCGTGCCGTCCAGGTCACTCTCCGAAATGAATTTGTCTTTCCTCAACGTTCCTCGGAGCCGGGGAGCAGACATTCCTCCGGCTTTGCCCTCATCCAATTACTTAACACCTGCAGACAAGCAATAACAGTGTGGGTGCCAAGAGCCTTAGAAATGGTTTTCTAGCCCAGTGTAATCTGCTGCCCTGCTATCAGGAGTCACATTACACACCTGCCAGGAGCCCAGCCAAGAAAATAACATTCCCGGTACTCACTGCAGGCGGGAATGCCCAGGGCACCTTAGAGAGACGAGTGACAGGCATGTCAGCCGCTGCCACAGAGCCCATGAAACATTTCGACTTTCTTAGTCATTATATTCAAAGTCATCGGAGGACTAAAAGATGTACAAGAAATTTTCTTGTAGATTTTTCTTCCAGGGACAGTGCAGGCAAAATCATCTCCCCGCAAAATGACTCAACAAGCATGAGGACTCATGCTGACCCCTTGGGGGGGCTTGATGGACCTGGGTGGACAGGATGCCCGAAACAAGAAAGACCTCCCAGCCTGCCCGTGCTTGCTACCGCACACTAAGTGTCTGAATAGCTCAGCTATCCCGAAGCCAAAGACAGATGATTTGCCTAAAGGACTTGAGTTTGAGCCCAAAACTGCCCAGGCCCCCTTCACTAAATACAGCCACCTCAGAAAGAAATGGAGCCAACTCTGGAACATTCTTTTTAAGAACAACCCCAAAGAGACTTGATCAGGAATATTTTTTTCTGAACTGGTTTTGAAAAAATTCTATGGCTGCCTATGGTGAGAATTAAATAAATCATTAGCAGAAATCTCTTGGTTCCATGTTTTTCACAAGAAATAGATGTCTCTGCTCCCAGAGCTGCCAGGTTATTTAATTTTCACCAACCTGAGATCTTAAAAGGTGGGAACAGAGTACGCAGAACCTGTGGCCACATGCCCTGGGAGTTGAGGGACCCCTGGAAATGTCCTGGGTCAAGGGTCATCTCCCACAATGCACCACTTGGACATCCTTTCCCTTGGTCACTTACTCCAGATGGAGAAACCACTGGAAACCTCAGTGACCAGGACCCAGAGAGCAGTGAGCACAGGGCGGGGGTGTTGGCGGGGAGAAGGAGGGAGAGGCCATAATCCCTACACAGCCTCCTTTGAGTTACCCCCCTTGCCTTTGAACAAATCTCACTTTCCACTAAGATTTCCAAACTCTCGCAGACAGTCTGCTACTTTTCACATCAGCGCACTTCAGCAGCAATAAAATATGACAAGTGATTGATCTCTGCATGTGTGTGAGTCTTGTCTCCCCCCTGGAGCACCAGCTCCCCAAGCACGGAAGTGGCATTAGGTTTCCCTCCTCCAGGGTTCTGCCCTGCACAGCACCAGCCGCCAGGCACTGGGTGAACGGAGAGGGTCCTTAGCGTTTGCTCTCTCCTTGGATTTTCTTTCTAGAAAAATACACTGCTCAGAGCCCTCCGCTGATGCTGACATGGTTTCCAGCTAGATGCTACATCCTTGCTGGTTAAAGTGTGTTTTGTGGACCGGCAGTATTGGCATCACCCTGGAGCTTGTTAAAAATACAGATCTTAAGCCCCATATTAAACCCATTAAATCGGCACCTGCATACCTACATTTTAGCAAGATTTCTAGCAGATTCAAATGCATATTAAAGGCTGGGGAGCCAAGTTAAACAATACCTCTCTCTCTCTCTCTCTCTCTCTCTCTCTCTCTCTCTCTCTCTCTCTGTCTGTCTCTCTCTCTCTGTGCAGAGTCCAGAGGATACACTATCTCTGGCAGGGAAGGTCTGAAGGCAGAGTCATTGGTGGGACCCACAAGTTACACAGCTCATTCTAGTTCCCCATCATGGAGAATGACACTGATGACTCAAGAGGTCTGAGCTGGATGAAAGGAGACAGCAAACAACAGTGTCCCCACCCCATGCCGGAGAAGATGCTTTCGTGTCCAGAGAGTACAAGCACGTAGCCCGTGGCCAGGCAGCCAGAGCCGGAAGAGCATTCCAGGCCCGTGGCTCCATCTGCCAGCCCCTCCCGTGCAGCCCAGCACTCCCAGCCCACATGTAACCTTCAGCCCCTGCCCAGAACAGTCAGCGTGACAGTAATAATAGTAGTCACAAGAAAATGCAACCTCGATCACGCTAACAACTTTTGAAAAGTAAAATGCTGGGGATATGATTTCAATTAAAACTCATATTGTCTGACTTGTCTCTTTGCACAGCAAAAGCTCAGCTCCTCTTGCCCTCTTACCTCCTCTTTGCAAAACCAAGGTGGACAGGAGGAGCCAGGTCAGTGCCGGCTGCCACCTCAGGGGTGCTGGGGCCTGTGTGCTCGCTGCTCCCCATGCCCCAGTCAGCAGAGCCCTTCACATAGTGGTCTCTGTGCTAATTCACCCCAGATAAATCCTAACCAGCGATTTGTGGATTCTCTCTCTCTCCCACCTTGCCAGAGCTGGTCTCAAGCAAACAGTCCTAATGATCTACCGCATTTGCACTGAAGGTGAATTTTCCAAATCTATTCTGCTCACCACAGATGAGGACCAGACAGCCAGTGCTGGTGGGGAACACAGGCCTAGTCAGAATCCTGGTGCATAATTTCTGCAAGAAAATAGAGCTGCTGTCATCCTGGGAGCTCTAATGCTCACTTTCAGAAGATACTAAGCAGAATACAACAGACAAGGCCAGCATCACAGCCATGTGGTGATATATAAATGAACAAACATGTTTCCTTAGAGATTCATGAACTGATGCAATGGCTGTTCAGTGGACCCGTGACTCTGAATCTTCACATCTTTTCTTTCCTAAGTCATGTCTACTTATTTTTTACAATTAACTCAAACATTATCTACAGCAAAACTTGTGCACACTTTTCCAAATTTCCCAAAAGCTCTCCCTTTCTGCTTGGAGCAAGGATCCCCCTCCTTGAAGGGGGTTTTCCAAGAAAAAAAATTTAGCAATCATTGCTCAGATGGTATCTGTCTATTACTGTGAGGGGAATTAACTGTGAATCTGAAAAGCAAATGAAGTAATTTTTGTTCTGATATCATATCCATGTTTCTGATAAAGCTCACATTTTGGGAAACCACACATTAAAAGCAGCAGGACATTTTAGGGAAACAAGTTTAATGGCAGACCACTCGAAAGATAGGAAATTTTAGCCAGAGTACTAACATAAAGAGTAACAATTAATAATGCAAATAATAAAGAAGTCAGACAGCCATTGGAACCTGCTCTTGGCATCAAAGTCACCCCATTCTTTGTATCTTTCATTTCTTTAATATAATTTTTAATTTAGTTTCTTTAATTTCTGCCTTTTGAATGTTAGGTCCTGGAGGGCATTTACATCTAGTAGAGACAGAAATAGAGGCAGAAACCCTCTTCAGCAGTTCATTTTTTTAAATGTGCAAATGTATTTGCAACATTCCCATTTGCATTTACAATTTCCCCAAATTGCGTATAACTAAAAAAAAAATTTGTTGACTGGTACTTAAAGTCATCAAGTCAGTCACTGCTTGACCTAAAGCAAAGCATTCTGTGGGATTTTCAGCTTTTATAAGGTCTTTCTATATCTCAAAGTTTTTCTCTTATGATCAAGCTTGCCCTTTTTTTTCTAAACCATTAAAATGTTAAGTTAAAAATCACCATTATGCTAATATCACTTTTCCTATTAAAAGAAAAATGTTGTAGCAGATCAGACTGTACAGACATTTGTGACTAATATGATGTGAATGGGGCCTCCCTGGTGGTGCAGGGGGTTAAGTCGCAACACTATGAAGCTGTCCGCAGCCATTGAAGCACCAGTTCAATCCCCGGCCAGGGAGCAACCCACATGGCGAGGCAGACCTCTCCTGTCTCGCCCCCTGCTCCCCTCGGCAGTGTATTTCAATAGATCTGCCTGTTCTGTTCCCCACTCTGTCTCTGGTGAGTCCTCTCACCACCACCCCCACACCCGTGGCCTGTACCTGAGTTCTTGTATGCATAAATAAATAAATCTTAAAAAAAAAAAAAGATGATGTAAATGCTTCAAATAACAATGAAGTGGTAGACAAAATCATGTCCCTTAAATAGCAAAGGGGAACGGATTGTGCAGATGTGCTTAAGAATGTTAAAATGGGAACATTATCTTGGATTACCTGGGGTGCATCCTAACCAGGAGGGATCGTAAAGAGGGAGATGTGAGGCCACAAACCAAGGCATTGAAGGCACCCTCTAGAAGCCAGAAAAGTAAAAGGAATGGATTCTTCTCTTGGGCCCTCCAGAGGAACACAGTGCTGTTGCCCTCTCTGACACTCTGACCCCCAGAACTATAAGTGAGTAGACCTGTGTTATTTTAAGCTACTTAGTTAATGGTTATTTGTTTCAGCAGCAACAAGAAACTAATACAAACAGTAAAACCATCTCAGTGAGGTCTACATGACTCTCTATTACCTCATCTATCATGTCTGACATCATTGTGCCCCCCAATTTCCCAACTAGGGAAACATTATCAAACTTTTCTCCTATGAGCATACCACCTTAAGAGTTTCTCCAGCATTGTTTCACAGTATAGCCTCATGTATTCAAAGATTGAGATAACAAAATCATAAATAACAATCCAAAGAAAGGGCCTCCCTCATGGCACACGCAGTTGAGCGCAGCACTGTGAAGCTGTCCGCAGCCTCTGCAGTGCAGGTTCTATCCCGACCGGCGCAGAGATACCCACATGGTGCAGCAGACCTCTCCTGTTTCACCCACTGCTCCCCTCAGCAGTGTATTTCAGTCATCTGCCTGTTCTGCTCCCCGCTCTGTCTCTGGTGAATCCTCTCACCCTCCACACATCTGTCTTATACCCCGGTTCTTGTATGCATGAATAAATAAATCTTAAAATAATAATAATAATAATCCAAAGATCTTTGCCAAATATTTAACACAAACTGAATAATCCTTGCACTTAATTGTATGAAGCTCCAAGTTAAATAAATCCTCAATGCAGGGTACTGAGTCATATTTTCAACAAAGGAATTCATCTAACTACTGACTTTAAGGCCTTTCCATGTTATTTTTTATCAATGTTTCTCAGTTACATGCATAATACTGAATTCACTTTTCTCCAGAC